CAGTGGCGAGGTCAGCCTTCTGAGGCATCGACCTGGGAGTCCGAGTCTGATATGCGGAGCCGTTATCCTCATCTATTTCCCGACTCAGGTACTTCTTTCTTGTATCCGTTCGAGGACGAACAGTTGTTTTAGAGGTGGAGAATGTGACGACCCAAAGGGTCATCACCTGTTTTCTCTTTCATCCCGTGCTTCCGAGGCCTTGAAAACCTCATTTTTACTTGCCTCGATCTGCGTGCGCAGTCCGGGCGCGTAGCCGGAAAGATTATATGTTAAATTCTGTGAAAAAATTTCAAAATGTAGTTTTAAAATGATTAAAGTTGACTTCGGTCAACATGTTTGGTAAACGGACCCAGACCCGTGATTTGTCGGTCCCGGAGGGTCCGTAAAAAAATATGGGACTCGGGCATGTGCCCGGAGTCGAAATCCGAGGTCTAGAGCCCGAGAAAAGAATTTTTCTGTGAAATTGTTTTGGAAAATGAAAATGAAAATTGAATAAAAGACCGTGGTATCGGGCTCGTATTTTGGTTCCGACGTCTGGTACAAGTCTTATATATGGTATAAGCGCTTTCTGTGAAATTTGGTCGAAATCGGACATCATTTGACGTGTTTCCGACCTAAATATCTAAAATCTGAAGTTTATGAAGTTTGATGAAAAAGTGATGATTTTGAGGTTTGATTCCTCGTTTATGATGTTATTTTGGCGATTTGATCGCACGGTTAAGTTCGTAGGATGTTGTTGAGTTAGTGTGTGTGATTGGTTAGGAGCCCCGAGGGCTCGGGAGTGTTTTCGGAGGTGTTCGGGGTGTTTTAAAACTTAGATTGATAGCAGATTTTTTTGCAATTTTTGCTCAGATAATTGCTTCTTCGCGTTCGCAGCACCCAGCTCGCGTTCGCGTACCAGTGCGCCTTCCCTTCTTCGCGTTCGTGGACAAGTCCCCGAGTTTGCGTAGCCTTGGTTTCCCCTTCACCGCGTTCGCGAGCCCCATCTCGCGTTCGCGTACAAGCAAATCCCGGACCCAGCCCCATCCTTCTATGCGTTCGCGACTAGCACCTCGCGTTCGTGATGCTTTGACTCATCTACCCTTCGCGAACGTGGCCCCCTTCCCGCGAACGCGAAGGGCATTTTTGCCCAGTGATTTTTACAGCTCAAAAACAGACCAGTGACGGGATTATTCCTAAATTTCACACGAGCTCTTCTTCTCCACAGCCCCTAGGTGACTTTTAGAGCGATTCTTCACCAAAGCTTTTTGAGTAAGTATTTTCTAACTCGTTTTCTTCATTTTCTATCATCATTTATCAAATTCTTAGACCTAAATCATGTGACTTAAGGTGTAAATTGGGGGAAAAGGGTAGAATTAGGGCTTTTCAATTTTCTTTGATTTAGACCTCGTTTTGGGGTCGAATTTGAAAACAAATTGTATATTCGGGCTCGTGGGGGAATGGGTGACATGGAATTGGTTCGAACCTCAGGTTTTGACCAAGCGGGCCCGGGGTCAATTTTGGAATTATTGGGAAGAAAGCTTAGAAAGTCATATTTAGGCATTGAGTTTAGTTTGTTTAGCTATTATTAATATTTTAAAGTCATTATTTCATAGATTTGACTGAGTTGGAGCCGAATTCGAGGGGTAAAGCTATACTAGAGGCTTGAGTTGATTTTGGAGCATTTGAGGTAAGTGTTTNAGCATGTTTTCCCCTCCCTTATAAACTGCTTATTCCCTGTTACTTTTCCGCAATATATTTCATAACTGCACAGGTTTATCTGATAGTCTGGTCTAGCCTCGTCACTACCTCGCCGAGGTTAGGCTAGGCACTTACCAGCACATGGGGTCGGTTGTGCTGATGCTACACTTCTGTGCTCTTTTGCACAGATCACGGAGCCGGAGCAGCTTTTGGACATCCGTAGCCGATTTGGGAGCTGACTTCAGTCCAGGGACTTTCGAGGTAGCCTAGTTGACGTCCGCAGGCCGGAGTCCCTTCTATGTTATTAGTTTGTTTTCCTTGTACCGAGACAAACATTGATGTACTTCTATTCTGACTTGTTTTTAGCACTCTTTAGTGGTTCGTGAGTTAGTGACTCCAGTCTTGGGTAGAGTTGTAATTGAATTTTCCGCACGTATTTTTAGTTTATTTATACTTAAGACTTCCGCTTTTATATTAATTGTTCCGTTTTTTTTCCTTATATTGTCAATTGCTGATAAAAGAAGTAATAAATTAATTGGCTTGCCTAGCTCCTATTAGTAGGCGCCATCACGACTCCCGATGGTGGAAAATTCGGGTCGTGACAACCATTGAGCCATGCTATGTTTTAATCCATTAATCTTCTTCCAATACCAACTACAATCCGCAGGTGGATTGTGATCCCAAATGTTCCCACACGACCTCATATACACACCATGCACCCATCTTACCCACAACACTTTCTTATTCGTCGCTTGTTGCTATAACAGCTTTCCAACATATGCCACATTTCAAAGTTTACACCCCTTAATATTTAACCCTCCACACTTCTTTGGTCTACATAATAAGTCACATGCTACCAGTGCCATATTCCTATGCCCTTCTGTGCTGCCCCATAAATACTCCATGCATTTCTTGTCTACTTCTTTGATAACACTTTGAGGGAGTATAAAGACAGCTCCCCAAAAATTGTATATCGCAAATAGAACAGCATTAATAACTTGCAGTCCACAAGTATAGGATAATTATTTTGCATAGCCTGACTGAATTCTTTTTGTAATCTTCTCCACTAGTTGATGGCATTCTACTTTGCTCCACTTCTTTGATGTTAAAGGTAACCTCAGATACCACATAGGTAATGTTCGCACTGAGAACCCTGTGTTACTTAGGATTGTCTGATTTGTATCCTCATCCATTCCTGCTAGGAAAATTCAATTATTTTGTTCATTCAAATTCTTAATATTAGCGCATCACAAATTTTAAATATTCAATTACTCCAATAATAATCTTGCAGTAGGATAGAAGGATGAAAACGACTATTGTTCAAATAGAGGGATGAGTTTGATTTTTATAGCAAACTCGAGGGAATGTAAATGATTTTCACCCATTTATTAAACACCATGAGTTGTGGGAATAGATGAGTAAAGACATTGCAACGTCCATTGGAACCACTTGTTTTTAAGATGAGGACTCCTATTCACTACTCAAAATGGAAGCAATTGTGTTCTTAAATATTACTGATACAGAATCGAAGTTTGAGGAAAAAAAAAAAGAACCGAAGTTTTCAAGAAGTAACTCTATCGTTGAAGGATTCTAGTTAGTTAAAGTTATAAATATTAAGATTTCCTACATAGAATTTATATAAGTAAAATTTGTACAAGGAAAGAATTAAATTCCAAGTTTTAGGAGCGTTTTATTTAACTATTCTTATGGTACGCGCTTTGCGCGTGTAACAAAGTCGGTGAGTAGATGACTTTTTAGAAAATCGTATTAGTACTATTAAATCTAATATGTTTGTAATAAAAAAAATATAAACTCCTTAAAATATAGCATATAGTTTTAGTTGAAAAGACTTATTTATAAACTCTTCCGTGTTAATTTTTCTATTTTTTGATTATCTTTCACCGCCAATACTATTCTTATAAAAATAAATTTAGGTATCTTAAGAGTTTTGTTAACTTGAAAAATAATTTTAATTATACGACGAATTTGACAAATAATTGGTTTGAATTTTTAGACTTAATTATTTGGCCTTAACATTAACGAAACTAATTTATGTTTTGTCGATTCAAATTCTTAATATTAGCTCATCCCAAGTTTATAAATATTTAACTGTAACATGAAAAAGATTGCAATTATGTTATATCTTTCAAATAAAAAATAATTATATAAGTTAATAAAAATTTAATTTATTGAAAGTACTGAATGCTAAATCTCTCTACATAGTTCAAATAAAAAAATGAAATTTTAGTTAGTTTTTAGGTCTTAAATATTTAAAAAATTAATATGAAAGATATTATAGTTAAATTGAATAATTATAATAAGAAAGGATTAATTAAGAAACAATTGGCTAAGATAGAAAACCTAAAATCGGTCACAAAAGTACATATCGTTACTATGTTTGACCCCAAAAAATATATATTGATACGACCTTTTATTATAGCATTCCATAAGATTTTATTTTTTGAATCCTATGACATATAATTAAGAATTATTTTTTATCAAACCTTTCAAAAGGTTTTGTTTTTCTAGAATGTCTAATAAAGCATTACGAATTCCAAATAATTAGTTCGTCCATAACTTGAATTTCTCTTTTTTTGTTTCTTAGGATAATTTTGGGTTTAATGATGTCTATAAAGAATAAAATTTTCTAGGGCTACAGCTTCTTTATCTATCTTTATTTATAAGGTAAAAATTTTAACGATCCTAAATTCTAGCAATTCTTATATATTTTAAATAAGTAAAGATTTAATAGATAAAATTTTAGTTGATTTTAAAGTCCTAGTAAAATTATAAAATGACAATTTTGGTCGGTGTGAACTCCATTTTTTAAAGGGCAGAAAAGGCGAACGACATTTCGTTAAGGTTCGTGCCTTAACGGGATAGTTTTAGAGTATGCGCGTTGCGCGTGAATCCTTATCGATGGGAATAAATTTTAAAAAATCATATGAATAATATTATTTGACTTCCTATATTACTTAAATAAGCATAGTTTTAAAAAAACATGTAGAAAGTTATAATTTAAACGATCTTATAAATTAGAGTACAATTTACTGCAAAATTCAATGATCTAAGTATCTTATCTATGCTTCACTTGTCAAATATTGTAATTGGGTTTGTATCTAATATGATCATATATTACAATATGTAAATAAAAAATTAAAGCATGTTATATATTTATTTTTTGGCCAAAATTAAAAAATTTATTTCAACCAAGTAGAACTATTTACATCCACTAGTTACATTTGGACTCTATAACTAGTCTCCCAAAATCTCCCTACCTATGTAAAGGTACAAAATCTTTTTTCAATGCCTAACTACCTCTACTTAGGATAACTATTCAAAGACTCTAGGACTCTCCTCCATTTGCTAAAGTGTTGTCCTCTTGTGTGCAACTGTATTGTCATCTCTTTAAGAATCTGTTGACTCTCTTTCTTTTTATCTTGGAATCTTCTTGCATTTCTTTCACTCCACAAATGGTAAACAGTAGCAGCATATAAGAATTTTACAATCTGTGCTCGTGGTCTGCTGTTCCTCGTTTTCCTGCTAAGCCTGTCAGTTTCTTCTTCCCAATTACTCATTCTCCTCGTCTCTCCTAGCCAACTGAGTATTGAATTCCAGATGTAGGACGAGTAACTGCATTGAAAGAACAAGTGATGCAGGTTCTCCTCAGCTCCAGTGCTGCATAATACACATTCTGTTTGTACATTTACACCCCATTTCTGCAGTCGATCCACAGTAGCTAAACGACCCATAAGTGCCAGCCATAGATATCACACCTCCTTTTCACTACACCCCGTAAAGGGTGTATAGGAATTTTTCCACTTAAAGGACAATCGGAACGGGATTTATTATTAAAATTCCGCCACTTGGGAGATTAATGGTGTCCCAAGTCACCGGTTGAATCCCGAACCGAGGAAGTTATGACTCTGTTAACAGTCCGCGAACCAGAAATCCGAGTAAGGAATTCTGTTAACCCGGGAGAAGGTGTTAGGCATTCCCGGGTTCCGTGGTTCTAGCACGGTCGCTCAACTGTCATATTTGGCTTATTCGTTTGATTTTAGTATATGTTTTAATCTATGTGCTTTTAACTTTGAACCGCTTTTATTATTATTATTTTAAGAGAATTGCAACTTTGATCTATGTGCTTTTAACTTTGAACCGCTTTTATTATTATTATTTTAAGAGAATTGCAACGTCGTGAAAACACGTCTCGAACCGCGTCACATAAATGCACCCGCGATTTTTGACACATTTCGACTTCGTTGGGATTTGGATTTGGGTCACATAAATGTGCACCCGTATTTAGGAAGGTAAAATTATTTAATGCCGAACCTAAAGCAACTAGCGCATTATTAACTATGCGTGAAGCCATGGAATTTGCTAAATGGCGCGTTCCGAGATCTACATTTTTTAGAAAAACAATTAAGAGGGCCACGCTAGTTGTGATTTTATTTGGCGCGGCGCACCTCATTTTTATTTTAAAGGTCAACCTGAAGAACTATGATTTTATTAAGTATTGTCTCTAAAACCTAGTTAATTGGTATTATTTAAGGACTACTGTACTTCAAGTCCATGACTTTCATGTAATCCAAATCCTCAGCAATTTTTGGGCCTTGAAATCAACCCAGCAAGCAGGTAAATGTTGCTGTTTTTTGTTTAGAACCTGCCCAGCTTTGGGCTTCTGGCACTGCCATTGGGCCCAGGCCTCAAATTATACTGCCTAGGCCTCAAATTGATTGAATTAAAAGGGAAATGGGCCAGGCTATTTTTCAGTTGGGCCTGTGTTGAGCCCAGTCCTTACAGTCCAACTAACGTGAGCCAAAGCTCAGTCAATACTAACAATGAAATGAAAATAGAGAATCTGACGATATATTTTGAGCAGAACGTGATATCAACTAATGGTAATCTACCTACAAACTTAATCACATTTGTTAACAGTTAAACAGGGATCATCATGTTTATTGGACTAACAATGAACACAACGATGCTCAGCTACAGCCTAGCACCTAATCCAGCATTTTTAAGCAGCCTTTTAGCCTTAGTTCACACGTTTAAAACAGTTCCATGATAGAAATTAACTACAACTAACATGAAATTATTCTATCAACCTACCATGATTAACTACTACTAGTGTTTAACTCATAATGTTCACATAAATCTGAGAAATAGCAGCTCATACAGCCCAATTAGTACAATATAAATAATGACCTAAATAACATTATTGCACTAAATGTCTGAGTACACAAATCAGGAAATAAACTAAATCAACACTCGTGCTTCAATTCTTCACATAGATTCATTCTTCACGTTTTCAGCTCACAATTATCAGAGTTACAATTGTGTACCTGGAATTGAATAAGATGATGAGAAATAGGAGTCAGCTACAGCAGCAGATCAGCAGAAGTATACTACAACGAGCAACAACAGATTCCAATTCCAAAACCCATGAAATGTTTTAACACTAAATCAACCAGTCAAACAACCCAAACAACTTGAAAATGAACACAGAACACCTATGAGACTTTCAGCAGACAAACATTCAACTCAAACTAGCTTAATTGGACTCAAAATCACTCGAAATAGAACCAATATACTTCAGGAAAGCTTCAGCGATTAGAAGAGATGAAGATCATTGCCTAAAACTCAAAATTAACCTATAAAATGTAATGTAACAGTATTGTTTGATTTTTAATGCATTTCTGTATCTTTTTTTTGGATTTTTTGAAGATTTGGAGTTTGGATTTCAAATTTCAGATCAGAAACTTGTGGACAATGAGAGGAAATTTTTAGAGGCTCCAAACTTGTGACTTAAGGCACTAAAGGCTGCCTTATATAGGCAAGAATAGGGGCAGAAAGTTCTGGAACTCAATCCCCATTTCCCCCCCTTTTTTATTTTAGAAATTGGTCATTAATCCCTTACTTCTTGACTTGCTACCCAAGTTACACCCCTAAGTTATAAAAATTCTGATTTGAGACTCATCTAGAATGTTCTAGAGCTTCCAATTCAGTTATTTGAAAGATTCCATGCCCTTGAACTACCCCAATTACCCTTGGCTTATTCTGAAATTACCAAATGACCACCAACTGACCCAGCCCCTTCAGTTTAGTTAAAATCTAACTATGGTTAAACACTAAGTTGTTCAGCTATACCCAATCAACTAACTAATCCTAACAATTATTCAAAGATAAACTGAACTTCAAAGAACAATCAAAATCATACATCGAGGGAACTTAACCAGGACAAACATTAGAGAGAACAAAACAGTGAAACGTAAACATGATTAACCCTTAAACCAAATCAGAAATAATGAAAATTAAACTAATCGTGGGAACAATCAAAACAGGATCAGCCAAGAGCAAGTACTAATCTATCACCAAGTTATGAATCAAAACTAACCTATTACGCATTAAAACTACCATTAAAACAGAGTTACCCTATCGAGGGAAAATCTGAGAACACGATTTATTTAATACTCCTAGAGAACAAGGGAAACAGATAATAATGACAAAGAGAAGACCAGCAACACTGAAAACATACCCTAATTAAGAAACAAAATCTCGGAGAACAAAAAGAAAACAAATAATTCGAGAAGAGGAGAGGAAAAATAGAGAAAGAAAGAAAAATTTGAGAGAAGATAATAATAGAAAAAGAAAAGACAATACCTATTGAACACTGGACAGAAATCAGCGAGGACCTTTGATTTTAACATGTTCTGATTCAAACTGAGGCTATCCCCGTGGTTTTAATACGTAAGTAACCTCAAACGAACCCAAAACCTCAACGACTACTTCAAACTGGAAATTTCGGATTTCTAGGGTTAAACTAAATCCAAGATTCGAGGAGTTTCCAAGTTGTTCGAAGGAAAATAAGGGTAGATTTGTGATGGGGAGGTCGAGGAGGGTCCACAGTGTTCGTTTGGTGGGGTTTTGGTGGCGGCGGCGCCTGCACGGTGGTGGCGGCGCCTAGGATTTGGCTTATTCGAGGTGTTTGGGTGATATTCGAAGGAAATCAATGGCGGAATAGGCATGAGGAGGACAAGGCAGAGCTTTGGTGTTATTTTGGGGGAAGTTGGAGCTTCACCGCCGCCGTGGGCGTTTTCATGCGGCGGTTTGCGACGGAAGATGGTGGTGATGTGGAGGTGTTACCCCGGCGTTACAGGGGGAAATGGGAGACGATTGAGGGGTAGGGGGGGACTTATCCGACATTTATATATTAAATTTACCCTAGTTCCTGGCTGTAGGATCAAAGATCCTCGACGGCCAGGATCACACGCCACTGAAACGGTGTCGTTTCATTACAAGGGGGCTGGACCGGGTTTCCTGAGGCGGGTTGGGCTAATATGACCGGGTTATTCACATTGGGCCTGGGGAAGATCAACTGATTTGGCCCAACATCAAATTCTTTTCCCAATTCTTTTCTTTTATCTCAAAAATTCTTTTCTCTCTTTTTTTTATAATTAATTTTTCAAAATAAAACCTAAAATAAATCCTAACTTAAATCAATCCCAAAGCATCAAATTAATTAGCTCTAATTACTATTATTAACTAAACCGAAATGAAGGCCAAACTACCCTAAATTAAAAAATACAACTAAAATAAACTATTTTTGAGACCTTTTCCATTTTATAAAAACTAATGACTAACTAATTCCTAAAATGGAAAATTGACCCTTACAATGCACATGCACATATATTTTGTATTTTTTATTTAGTTAAAATGCAAACAATTAACATGAAATGTCACGCAAATCCACAAAATTGCAAACACTGCAAGAAATTATTTTGTTTTGAATTTATGGGAGTAATTCATATAGGGCAAAAATCACGTGCTCACAGTTGCCCCTCTTTGCTCGAAAACACGAAGAGTTTTCGTGCAAAGATAAATGAGCGGATACGAGCGATTTTTGCCCGTTTGAATACTCCGTGTGAAGCATTTTTGAAAACCGTCTGACCGAACCCTGCTTCAAAGGTTGCCTACATATCCTTGGCTAAAAAGGAATCAGGTCAGTGTAGTTCGGGAAGGTTTGGTAGCTGGGACTACCAGGAGCTGTGATTTCACTGTTGTTGTTGTTGTTGTTGCTGCTACTGCTCGCTGACCTCCTTATTACACCGTGTCAAAATAAAAAGAAGCTAGCCTAAGCTATGAATTACAAAAAGGTCCTATCTATGTCTTCAAACTTGCTCTTGTGTTGCCTTAAACTTGTATTCTTCCACTGGAATTCTTGTTGTTGCCTTGCATTGTGATCGGAGATGTTTTGCCATTCCTCCGAGTGATGCTTGAGCGCTGAGATTTGAAATATATGCCTCCATTCTCCAGGCGGTCTCCTGATTGCTGACGCTTGAAAAGTATTCCCTTGTTCTCCAGGTGGGCTCCTGATTGCTGAAGTTTGAAAGGTATTCCCTTGTTCTCCAGGTGGGCTCCTGACCTCAACAAAACAGACAAACAAAGAAAAATTTCTGCCCCAGTGTGGTGGCTGGGCACATCATGTTATCAAATATTAAAAATTAAAGGATACAATTTGAATTGTACTTCCCTTGTTCTCCAGGTGGGCGCCTGACTGCTGAAGCTTGAAAAGTATTCCCTTGTTCTCCAGGTGGGCTCCTGACTGCAACAAAATAAACAAACAAAGAAAAATTTCTGCCCCAGTTTGGTAACCGGGTACAGCATGTTATCAAATATTAAAAATTAAAAACTAAAATTTGAATTGCACTTCCCTTGTTCTCCAGGTGGGCGCCTGACTGCTGAAGCTTGA